GAAGAGAGGGCAAAAGAGAGCCAAGTCAGTTATGATGGTTCATTTTACCTGTCAACGTGTGGGCCACTTGGTACCCAGACATTTGGTCAAACATTACTTTAGGTGTGTCTGTGAGGAGGTTTCTGGATGAAATTAATATTTGAAGTGATTGACTGAGTGAAACAGATTACGCTTCTGAATGTGGCTGAGCCTTATATTTTGAAGACCTGGCTAGAACAAAAAGACTGAGCAAGTGGGAGCTTCTCCTGCTTGTCTCCTTGAGCTGGGACATCAGTGTTTTCCTGACTTTGGACTTGAACCAAAACTTTGGCTCTTGAGCCTGCTAGCTCTTGTACTGGAACTTGCACCATTGATTCCTTTGGTTCTCAGGCCTTCAGACTTGCACTGGAACTAGACCATAGGCTCTCCTGGGTCTCTAGCTTGCTGACTGCCACTCTAGGGACTTTTCAGCCTCCGTAATTGCATGAGCCAATTCCTTATAATAAATACCTTTTCAAATATATGTACTTCTCTCTCTCTTTTTTCTTTTTTGAGATAGAATTTCGCTCTTGTTACCCAGGCTGGAGTGCAATGGTGCGATCTTGGCTCACCGCAACCTCCGCCTCCTGGGTGCAAGCAATTCTCCTGCCTCAGCTTCCTGAGTAGCTGGGACTACAGGCATGCGCCACCGTGCCCAGCTAACTTTTGTATTTTTAGTAGAGACGGGGTTTCACCATGTTGACCAGGATGGTCTCGATCTCTTGACCTTGTGATCCACCCGCCTCAGCCTCCCAAAGTGCTGGGATTATAGGCGTGAGCCACCGCGCCTGGCCTCTCTCTCTTTTCTCCCTCCCTCTCTACCTCTCTACTTCTCTACCTCTACCTCTACCTCTGTCTCTCTCCTGTTAATTCTGCTTTTTTGGAGCCCTGACTAACGTATAAACCTAGTCTTTTATTGCCTTACTTTGGTCTCATCTCAGATTTTCCAAAGTGCTTCTAATCCTCTGAGAACTTCTGCCTTACTGGCTTGGTTCTCTGCATTGATGCAATCTGTCATGAAATGGCTATCTTCATGACAAAACAAGCAAAGGAGAGGTGCTTGGGTTTTTATAAACTTGGCGGCTGTTTTGGAAACATTTTACTCTGAGGCTAGGCACCACTGTTTGTATTCTTGTTTTGCAGTTGTGTTTCTTTCTCCTAAGTTCTCTGTCCATATATTCTCTTGGCCTGGAAGGCATGTATGCCTGTTTGACAGTGTCCTGGAAATTCTTCCCTAGATGGGGAGTGCATGTTGAAGGTGCTCATACACGGTTTCCTAAAATCCTGCAAAGTGGCAGTCAGGACCTTTAAAATACCGTGATAATTTCCAAACTATGGAGTTATCATGTATAGATTTTCAGAGAACTGCTATAAAGAAATATTTGAGATTTAGAATTGTTGACATAGCTTTTCCTTTCTTTTCTTTTCTTTTCTTTTTTTTTGAAACAGAGTCTCACTCTGTTGCCCAGGAGTGTAGTGGGGCGCCATCTTGGCTCACTGCAACCTCCGCCTCCCGAGTTCAAAACCGTTTTTAAAATATTTATTTATTTATTTATTTATTTATTTGAGATGGAGTTTCGCTCTTGTTACCCAGGCTGGAGTGCAATGGCGCGATCTCGGCTCACCGCAACCTCCGCCTCCTGGGTTCAGGCAATTCTCCTGCCTCAGCCTCCTGAGTAGCTGGGATTACAGGCACGCGCCACCATGCCCAGCTAATGTTTTGTATTTTTAGTAGAGACGGGGTTTCACCATGTTGACCAGGATGGTCTCGATCTCTTGACCTGGTGATCCACCTGCCTCGGCCTCCCAAAGTGCTGGGATTACGGGCGTGAGCCACCGCGCCCAGCCTTATTTATTTATTTTTGAGACAGGATCTCACTCGAGTCATCCAAGCTGCAGTGCAATGGTGCAATCTTGGCTCACTGGAACCTTGACTTACTGGGATGGAGTGATCCTCCTACCGTAGCCTCCCAAGTATCCGGGACCACAGGCATGTACCACCACGCCCAGATACTTTTTGTATTTTTGGTAGAGACAGGGTTTCACCATGTTGCCCAGGCTGGTCTCGAACTCCTGGGCTCAAGCAATCTACCTGCCTTGGCCTCCCAAAGTGCTGGGATTATAGGTGTGAGCCACTGCACAGTGCACAACCAGTTTTGAATCATTAAGATATAAGTTAAAAAGAAGAGGAGAATGTTTTAAATAATTTATAAGACAATTATAGAATCTGTGTTGAGAGATTACTCAGTCTAATTGAAAGCACAGTAGGAGAAATTTTAGTGTAATCACATTCCTGAAAATGAAGTCCTTAAACATTTCTCATTTCTTTTCAAATGTAGTTCACTCACATATTTACCAATGACCTACATGTATTTAGTATTTCCTGAGAATTGTATCCCAATTGCATGCCCCATGTACATACCATTGTGTATGAATGCCCTTGTGACAAAATACAAATAACATTTAATAGAGGTGTTAGTGAATTTGTGATGCTTCTGTCATTGATTTTTCTCAATAACTAGATGATAAAATCACAACAATTGTCGTATGGATGTTTATAGGATTTTTGCTGTTTTTTTTTTTTGTTGTTTTTTTTGAGATTGAGTCTTGCTCTGTTACCCAGGCTGGAGTGCGGTGGCATGATCTTGGCTCACTGCAACCTTTGCCTCCCAGGTTTGAGCAATTATCATGCCTCAGCCTCCCAAGTGGCTGGGACTACAGGGGGTGTGCCACCACGCCTAGCTAATTTTTGTATTCTTTTAGTAGAGATGGGGTTTCACCATGTTGGCCAGGCTGTTCTCAAACTCCTGACCTCAAGTGATCTACCTGTCTTGGTCTCTCAAAGTGTTGGGATTACAGGTTGAGCCACCATTATTTTGCTTGGATTTTTATTCTTGAAAAGAGGTTCTTATGCTTATGTGCCACTCCACTCCAGCCTGGCAACAGAGTGAGACTCTGGCTCAAAAAAAAAAAAAAAAAAAAAAATCAAAAATCTCTGGAGCCAGTTCTATCCATTTCCAAAGTGGAAAAGGACTTTGGCTTAAGGGTGGAGTCTTTGCATAAGGATGTGTTCAAAGAGAATGTAGTACAGTATGCTGGTGATACCCCCAGAGCTTTGGCAGGTTTCTATTCATACCTTTTCTTTATCTTTTTTTTTAAAAAAATTCCTACATGCCTCAGAGGTTTGATTCATCTTTTTTTCAGAATCTTGCATGTCATCTATTGTTCTCTCCATCCATAAACCCTCTATTGAAACAGGATGCAGATGCCTTAGCTTTTTCTTTACCTTGTTAACTCTGAAAGTATTTGACACTCTTTCACTTTTAAGGATTTTTGCTGCTATTAACAACAGAGAATGAAATTAATGAATAAAAATTTGTACAATATAAAATTTTATTCAAAATGAGAATTTCTTATTCATTGAAATGGAAATGAAAAAACTCAGTTTTCTAGTAGTTGCTAGAATAATGGCAGTAGACTAAGTGATGTCAAGAGTTTTTTCCAACTCTGTGTTTAATTTTTAGTGGTGGATTACTCAGTTTTTCTTATTTTATCACTTTTTTTCTGGGAAGTGCCTAAGTGTCCTTTCTCCTATTTTTCTTTTTCTTTTTTCTTTTTTTTGAGATGAAGTCTCGCTCTGTCACCCAGGCTGGAGTGCAGTAGCATGATCTTGGCTCACTGTAGCCCCCACCTCCTGGTTCAAGCAATCCTCCTGCCTTAGCCTCCTGAGTAGCTGGAACTACAGGCATATGCCACCATGCTGGGCTAATTTTTTATTTTTGTTTGTTTGTTTATTTATTTATTTATTTGAGACCGAGTCTCACTCTGTTGTGCAGGCTGGAGTGCAGTGGCATAATCTCAGTTTACTGCAACCCCTGCCTCCTAGGTTCAAGTGATTCTTCTGCCTCAGCCTCCCAAGTAGCTGGGATTATAGGTGCCTGCCACCATGTCTGGCTAATTTTTGTATTTTTAGTAGAGATGAGGTTTCTCCATGTTGGCCAGGCTGGTCTCGACCTCCTGACCTCCGGTGATTCACCAGCTTTGGCCTCCCAGAGTGTTGGGATTACAAGCATGAGCCACTGTGCTCAGCTGTTCCTCCTATTTTTCTTTATTGTTTGACTCTGAAGATAATTATTTGTAGGCCACTGAATTCATTTCTTCACAGGGGAGGAGAAACTCCAGGTTTTTTTTTT